AGAATGCGATAGAGTTTTTGTCGAATTTCGTTCTTTCTTACTTGTTAAAATTTACGTTCCATACAATTTCTAGAATTGATAGCGTACAACAAGGTAGCAATAATTACGATTTGTGAGATCAGTGCAATTCTTCGTTTTATGAAATCAACGCGTCTGAATAAATTACATTTCATTCGTAGCTGTCCACGATGCTTCTCAATTGCACGTATTTATGATTGTTCTGTATATTGTATTGATCTGTACTGATCTTGTTCGTTTACTACAATAACAATTCAATAACATGTATGTTAAAAAAAAAAAAAATCGCTTTATACCCCTTCTATTTAAATATACTCGTAAAAGAAAGTAGAACAGGAAGATATATTTTAGATACTTTCACATTCAACGAACAAACCCTCTCGTAATAAATTCGTGAAATCGATCGGTGCTCTTCGGTTGTTCTATGAGAAGTATCCAAAATGTATCTTGGGAAAGCTGTGGTCGCGCACAGCTTATGAATAAACGAAACGAGGTAAGTGAGAAAGTTGGATAACATGGTGGAAATCAATGTTCCAGGTGACATGTATTCACGACAGACCACCGGTTCAGGTGCACCTGGGTCCAGTAGCAGTTCAGCTAAAACTCCGGATTATACTGGCTATTCCGCATATGGTAATTACGCTGACACCAGTTATCCTCAGCGTTCGTATCAGGGAGGAGAAAGCAACCAAGGTGGGTATGCCGCCAGCGCCCCTAAACCCCAGCAAGGCTTTGATTTCAAAGAGTGGCCCACCTCATGACCATTTTAATTGATACGCGATGGAGATATGCGCTGAATGGCTTGGCCTTGCTCGTGGGTTATTTCATATTATATTTTCAGAGAGACACCACACAAAAAAAAAAAAAAAAGAAAAAAAAAAGAAAAAAAGAAAAAGAAAAGCGTACAATATTGCGCATTGATCGTGAGAATCTGTGCTCGAATCTTGGGACATTCTTTGGGTCTATTTATATTTGACGGATTTTATTTTCAGCAGCACCCTTGATGTTCGATTATTTCGAACAATTTCCCGAGAATTTCATACTATTACTTTTTTTCCGAGACTTAATTCCTGATGATATTATTATGTTCTTCAATCATGTACTCGAGATTAATTTATAATTTATTATTATAACCTATTTTATTTGAACGCTTTAGAGAATCTACGAAAGAATCGTTCGTACAAAGAATGTCTCGATTGAGCCTGTATGTCGTTCGCGAGCGGTCGTATTTCCCAGTCTTTTAACGT